CGGCCAGTGTGATAATAAATAAATAAATAAAAATCTCTCCAACACCCTAGCATTAAGAACCCCATCTATAAATATGTTAAGCAACCATGGTGACATTATGCTTCCCTGTCTAAGGCTTATTTTTTCTCTCTCCTACATATCCTAACTTGAGCCTCACTATTATCATAAGAACTCTTTACAGCATTTAGTATCTTACTACATATTCCATACACTTGCAACATTTGCCACATTGCTCCTTTATCCATGCTATCATATGCCTTTTCTAAATCCATTAAAGCAACGAAGACTTCCCTACCTTTATCTAAATATTGTTGACTTATATGTTTCAATGTAAATACTTGGTCTACACATCCCCTACCCAATCTAAAGCCTCCTTGTTCATTTGTGATCTTGCTTTTCATCTTGCCTCTAATTTTTTCAGTAATAACTCTACCATACACTTTACCTGGTATACTCGGTAAACTTCTTCCCCTATAATTTTTACACTGTTTTGTCCTGTTTTCTTTATGTAAAGAAAATATGTGTGTTCTTTGCCAGTCCCGGTACCTTCCCCTCTTTTATACATTTATTGAACAGAAGTACCAACCACTCCAAAACTATATCCCCACCTGCTTATAACATTTCTGTCATGATCCCATCAGGTCCAACTGCTTTATACCCTTTCATTTTACCAGTGCCTCACACTCACATCTGGCTCTTCATTACTCCTAAAAGATGTTACCTCCCTGGCTAGTGCATGAAATTCCTGCCTCCCTCTCTTCATCAACATTTAACAGCTCCTCAAAATATTCCTGCCATCTTTCCAATACCTCCAACTCCCCATCTACTAACTCCCCTATTCTTTTTTTAACTGTCAAATCTATCTGTTCCCTAGGCTTTTTTAACTTATTTATCTCACCCCAAAACTTTTTCTTATTTTCAGAAAAATTTGTTGACAGTACCTCACCCACTCTATCAGTTTCTCTCCTTTCACATTCCCTCACCACTCTCTTCACCTCTCTTTTACTCTATTGGAATATATTTACTTCCTCCATACTTTTTCCTTCTAATCTGATATCTAATTTTTATTACCTTGATTTTTTGTTAATTTCGTTATCTCGCTGTTTCCTATACAGTGGTACCCCAAGTTTTGGCCATAATTCGTTCTAGAAGGCTATTCGAGTGCCATTACCAAACGAATTTGTTCCCATCACGAATAATATAAATTAGATTAATTCATTTCAGACCCCCCAAAATGCACTTACAAAAGCACTTGCAAAAATAGACTTACATAATTGTTCGAGTTGGGAGCTGTTCGAAACTTGGGGTACTACTGTACAGTGAACCCCCGCTGTTTGGCAGCTGCGACTTTCGTGAAATCTTTCGGCAACTTTTTCGCCAAAATATAGCCTTGCGGTTCGTGATTGGCCTCATAATTCGGCAACCGTCTGGTACACGTCCGCCGTCAGTGCGCATACAAGCCAGTCCCCCACACCATTCACACTCAGTGTGCCATTGTTTACCAGCAAGTGACCATCACCCCATGGGTTCATACGATACATTTCATAATAATTCACTGTTTTTTGTGCTTACAACTGCTTAATAAGTCACCATGGCCTGAAGAAAGCTAGTGCTATCCCTTTGGCAAAGAAAGTGAGGAACACGATTGAATTCAAGAAAGAAATCATTAAAAAATATGGGAGTGGAGTGCGTGTTACAGAGCTTGCCAGGATGTATGGCAAACCCCATTCAACCATCAGTTCGATCGTGGCGAGGGAAAGGAAATAAAGTGTGCTGTTGTTGCAAAAGGGGTAGATATGCTGACAAAAAGGAGATCGCAAACCCTTGAAGAAGTGGAGAGGTTATTGTTGGTGTGGATTACCCAAAAACAGTTAGCAGGAGATAGTATTATGCAGTCAATAATATGTGAAAAGGCAAGGCAGTTGCATGACGACCTCGTAAAGAAAATGCTTGCAGCGAGTGGTGATGTTTGAGAAATTTAAGAAGTGTAGTGGCATACATAGTGTGGTAAGGCATGGTGAGGCCGCCAGTTCGGACAAAAAGGCGGCTGAGAAGTTTGTACAGGAGTTTAAGGGGTGCGTAGACACTGAAAACTTAAAGCCCCAACAAGTGTTCAATTGTAACGAAACGGGCCTGTTTTGGAAGAAAATGCCAAAGAGGATCTACATCACGCAGGAGGAAATGGCTCTCCTAGGACACAAGCTTGTGAAAGACAGGCTAACTCTCATGTTTTGTAGTAATGCTAGTGGGAATTGCAAAGTGAAGCCTTTATTGATCTATCACTCTGAAAATCCCAGAGTGTTCAAGAAAAACAGTGTTGCCAAGAGTAAATTGTGTGTGATATGGAAGGGTAACAGTAAGGCATGGGTCACAAGGGAAATTTTCCTTGATTGGTTTAATGAAGTGTTTGGCCCCAATGAGAAGAAATACGTACCTCCTGGAAAATAAATTGGAACTCAAGTGCCTCCTGGTAATGGACAGTGCTCCTGCTCATCCTACAGACTTGGAAGAGCAAATGGTGGAGGAGTTTTGTTTTATCACAGTGAAGTTCTTGCCTGCTAATACCACTCCTTTCCTCCAGCCCATGGACTAGCAGGTCATTTCAAACTTCAAAAAACTGTACACCAGTGTTTCAAAAGTGCTTTGAAGTGACTTCAGACACTGAATTGACCCTAAGAGAGTTCTGGAAAGATAATTTCATTATCCTCCATTGCATAAACCTTATAGGTAAGGCTTGGGAGGGAGTGACTTACAGGAATTTGAACTCTGCTTGGAGAAAATTATGGCCAGAATGTGTACAAGAGAGGGACTTTGAAGGGTTTGGGGCTGACCCTGAGGAGCCTATGCCAGTTGTGGAAAGTATTGTGTCACTGGAAAACTCCATGGGGTTGGATGTGAATTTGGAGGATGTGGAAGAGTTGGTGGAGGACCACGATGAAGAGCTAACCATTGCAGAGCTGCAAGACCTTCATGTGCAACAGCAACAGACCACAGCTCAGGAAATTGCTTCAGAGGAGGAGGAAGAGAGATGAAGGAAGGTGCCTTCTTCAAAGATTAAGGACATTTGTGCAAAGTGGAATGAAGTGCAAACATTTATGGATGAACTTCACCCTGACAAAGCTGTTGCAGGCCCTGTTGGCAACATGTACAATGACAGTGTTGTGTCCCACTTCAGACAAATCTTAAAGAAACGCTAGAAACAGAGCTCTCTGGACAGATATTTTGTGTGACAGGGGTCCAGTGACTCAAGTTTTCTCACTGGCATTAAAAAACAAAGAAGGGAAGTAACCCCAGATAAGGACTTGGTACCTGAAGTCTTTATGGAAGGGGATTCCCCTTCCAAATAATAGTACACCTTCATCCTATCCCCTCCTCCTGTCTTCCATCCACCCAGAAGTCTTCAGTAAAGGTAACTGTAATGTTGTTATTATTTTATATATGTATGTACTTGATTTCTCATTGCTTTCTGTATGTAAATCTTTATTTAATTTGAATTTTTTTCTTTTTTAATATTTTTGGTGTCTGGAACGGATTAATTTTATTTCCATTATTTCTTATAGGAAAATGGTTTTGCCATTCGGCAATTTCATCCTTCAACAGACTCTCTGGAATGGATTAATCACAAAACTTGGGGGTCCACTGTACTATTCATTTTTAATTTCCTTTATTTTACATTTGTTTGACACACTGGCTGTTGTGCACTGAGGTAGGGTGACCTGAAAAAGAAGAAACATGAAGTGTTTCTTGTTTTTACGTTTAGTAATTTATGCAGAAGAAGGAGGCTACTAGCCCCTTGCTTATGACATTCTTTTTGGCATGCCCTCCCAGATTTATCCATCACCTTGTGTGACTTTTCTTCATAATTTGTACTTTGTACATTTATTTAATGCAAAAGGCATTTTCTTGTACAATTGGGCATTTCGGTCTTGTTACTAGTATGCATAATTTTAGCAGTCATTCCAATAGTGATTCAGTTTCCCTTATGACTGTCGTACCATGATTGAAACTTGTTAGTTTTTCAATTATTAATAATATTATTTTCCTTACATTCTCCTGTAAAATATTTAATGCTGTTATGTACCATTTATTGACATAAAAATGGTAAATTCTTCTTTTTAATTATTTTTTAACATGTCGGCCATTTCCCACCAAGGCAGGGTAACCCAAAAAGAAAGAAAAAATATTTCATCATCATTCAACACTTTCACTATCACTCATACATAATCGCTCTCTCTGCAGAGGCGCCCGCATACGATAGTTTAGATGTCCCTTCAAACTGATAATATCCCAAACCCCTCCTCTAAAGTGCAGGCATTGTACTTCCCACTTCTAGGACTCAAGTCTGACTAACCAGTTTCCCTGAATCTCTTCACAAAATATTACCCTGCTCACACTCCAACAGCTCATCAGGTCCCAAAAACCATTCGTATCCATTCACTTCTAACTAACACGCTCACGCATGCTTGCTGGAAGTCCATGCTCCTCACTCCCAAAAACCTCCTTTACCCCCTCCCTCCAACCTTTTTGAGGACGACCCCAACCCCACCTTCCTTATACAGATTTATACGCTCTCCAAGTCTTTCTACTTTGTTCCATTCTCTCTAAATGACCAAACTGCCTCAACAACCCCTCTTCAGCCCTCTGATTAATACCTTTAGTAACTCCACACCTCCTCCTAATTTCCACACTATGAATTCTTTGCATCATATTAAACCTTACATTTCCCTTAGACATGACATCTCCACTGCCTCCAGTCTCCTTGCTGCAGCATTCACAACCCATGCTTCACACTCACATAAAAATGTTGGTACCACTTTACTCTCGTATATTCCCTTCTTTACCTCCATGGATAACGTTTTTTGTCTCCACAGATGCCTCAATGCACCACTCACCTTTTTTCCTTCATCAATTCCATGGTTAACCTCATCCTTCATAAACCCATAAATTCCACTTATAAGCAAATATTATTTTGCAAGCTAAAAATGTTGCATAATTTGCAGATAGTGACAAAGGGCAATGATCAGGTGGCAATATCATCCAAATTTGAGTCTCGAGATGATCCTGCTGTAGTTCGAAATTATGGAAAACTACTTGCAGAAATGGCAAAAAGCGTACCTGATGGTAATATTAATTACTTATTATCTTATACATCTCTGACTATATATGTCAAAATTTTTTTTGACAGTATGCCTAATGTTTGAGTGTATGTGTTTGAATATCAAAATTATTATGAGTAGAAGGGGATCTGGTGGAAATCAATCTGCTAACCTCAGCAGTTCACTAACTACTAAGCCACCAGCATTAAGAAAATTCTAAACTGGAACTCATATGTAGCCCACTAAATGTGAATACCCTAAATCATATTACTATTTTATTTTTTATATATCATTAAATATATTAACCCTTCAGGACAATCTAAGAAATAAGATGATTAAATATATACATTAAATTTCAAAGTGCTTCTCTCTCCCTCTCTTTCTAGGAATGGTATGCTTTTTTACATCATATTTGTACCTGGAAAATGTTGTAGCCACCTGGTATGATCATGGTATCATAAGTGATTTGCAGAGGCATAAACTGGTTTTCATAGAGACACAAGATGATGCAGAAACTTCCCTTGCCCTCGTCAACTATATGAAGGTTGGATTTTTTTTTTTTCAACAAACCGGCCGTATCCTACCAAGGCAGGATGGCCCAAAAAGAAAAACGAAAGTTTCTCTTTTTAAATACAGTAATTTATATGGGAGAAGGGGTTACTAGCCCCTTGCTCCCGGTATTTTAGTCGCCTCTTACAACACGCATGGCTTACGGAGGAAGAATTCTGTTGCACTTCCCCATGGAGATAAGAGGAAATAAACAAGAGCAAGAACTAGAAAGAAAATAGAAGAAAACACAGAGGGATGTGTATATATACATATATATGCTTGTACATGTATGTGTAGTGTGACCTAAGTGTAAGTAGAAGTAGCAAGACGTACCTGAAATCTTGCATGTTTATGAGACAAAAAAGGACACCAGCAATCCTACCATCATGTAAAACAATTACAGGCTTTCGTTTTACACTCACTTGGCAGGACGGTAGTACCTCCCTGGGCGTTTGCTGTCTACCAACCTACTACCTAGAATGAAGGTTGGATATAAACTTATATTTGAGTTCTTGGTTTGAGACAGTCATGTGCAATTTGGGCATAATTACCTATTCAGAGTAATTACACATGCATAGAAAGAATAAATAATTAAATGTGCAATATTCAGCCCATCACAGCACAACACATGCTACTCGCAGTATTATTTGTTTGTAAAATGTTACATCACATATTTGTAGAAATTATTTTAAAGTGATATTTGACCCTGAATAGTATGAGTTTCCTATATTTAACCTCATCCTAGCTTGTGAAAATTGACAACTGTCTAGAAAATCTCCCAACTCCTGCCCCAAACATCTTACTACATAGGAGATTTCAACTTGAGACACCTAAAATGGAGAAGTATAGTAAACCATGTTTTAGCAGAGATCATCCCAGGAGGCAGCTCAGATGAAAATTCACACACACACGAACTATTAAATCTCTGCACCAAATTCACCTTAAACCAGCAAATAGTAGAGCCTACAAGACTAGAAAATACGCTGGAATTCATCTTCACTAACAATGACGATCTGATACATTATACAATTGTATCAAAGACAATACACTCAGATCACAACATAATAGAGGTACAGACATGTATGCACAGGGCTTCTGACCAGCAGAATGTGAGCAGTCATGAAGGTCTCTTCACGAAATTCAATTTCAATAACAAAGACACAATGGGATCAAGTAAACCATGTCGTAAATAAAACAAGCTGGGAAGATATCCTAAACAACACGGATCCAAACATTTGCCTTGAAAAAATGAATTCTGTGGTTCTTGAGACCTGCTGAAAAAAAAGAAAGAGAAGATGTAAACTAGAAAGAGGAGAGACACTCCCTATACAGACGAAGGCGAAGAGTCACAGATATCGAACTTAGGCTGAAGGAATCTTACAGGAGACAAGAATCAAGGGAAGAACTAAAAGGAAATTAAAAAATACCCTAAATACTTCTTCTCTTATGTGAAATCTAAGGGAAAAGCAACATCTAGTATTGGGCCCCTGCTTAGGCGGGATGGGACATACACAGATGACAGCCAAGAAATGAGTGAGATACTAAAGTCCCAATATGACTCAGTGTTCAGCGAGCCACTGCCCAGACTAAGGGTCGACAACCCAAATGAATTCTTTATGAGCAAAGCCCAAAATTTGGACATCCCAAAAATCTTGGATATTATCCTAACTCCACAAGACTTTGAAGAGACAATACCCCTCAAGGAAGGTTCCTTGATGTTGGTGAGGGGCTCTTGATTTAGGGAATTGGATCTGTGCTCCAGTTCCCGAATTAAGCCTGAATGCCTTCCACATCCCCCCCCCCAGGCGCTGTATAATCCTCCGGGTTTAGCGCTTCCCCCTTGATTATAATAATAATAATGAAGAGACAATAAATAACATGCCCATGCACTCTGCCCCAGGTCCAGACTCGTGGAATTCCGTGTTCATCAAGAACTACAAGAAGCCCCTACTGCGTGTCTTCAGCATTTTATGGAGAGGGAGCATAGACAAAGGGTCACCCCACACTAAAAGCACAGACATCCCCACACAAAGGTGGCATAAATCTTTGCAAAGACCCAAAATTACACCAAAATCCGATATATAAAACTCAAGAGCTTGAAGAGAATAACACCTCAAGGAAAGTCCATTGAGTTGAGGTCTGGACTTTAGGAAGGAAACTGTGCGTTCCCGATAGCTGATCTTCACCCCCCCCAGGCGCTTTTCAGTCCTATTAGGATTCACTGAAATAAAATATATAATGAGGGAATAAATAACGTGCCTGGACTGCTGCCCAGGTCCAGATCGTGAATTCGTTACATCAGAACTACAAAACCCATCTTACTCAGCATTTATGAGAGCTAGACCCCACCATCTATAAATGCTATTACACTGTATTAGGCACTCAAAAGCGTGGCGTAAAAGTTTGTTTAATAAATCAGACAATGCACTATAAGTTCCTTTTTCATAAATCTGTCGAGAGCTCAAACCATTTCCATAACCTAGATACCCAATTTACACAACCCAGGGGAACACGGGTTTAGAGCAGGTCGCTCCTGCCTGTCCCAGCTACTGGACCACTATGACAAGGTCCTGGATGCTGTAGAGGATGAACAAAATACAGATGTAGTATACACAGACTTTGCAAAAGCTTGGTACAAGTGTGACCATGGTGTAATAGCACACAAAATGTGTGATAAAGGAGTACTGTAATAGGAAAAGTTGGTAGATGGATCTAAAACTTCCTGACAAATAGAACACAAAGAGTAATAGTAAAGAGAATAAAGTCCCAGGCAGCCATGGTAAAAAGCTCTGTTCCACAAGGCACAGTACTCGTTCCTATTCTATTCCTCATCCTCATTTCTGACAGACAGAGATGTAAGTCATAGCTCCGTGTCTTCCTTTGCGGATGACACCTGAATTACCATGGCAGTGACCTCCATCGAAGACATCGCGAGACTCCAAGTGAACATCAACCAAATCTTCGAATGCGCCACTCAAAACAATATGAAGTTCAACGAGGAGAAATTTCAACTAGTCAGATACGGGAAACTTTAGGAAATTAAAAATGTATCAGGGTATAAGACAAATTCTAACCATACAATAGAGCGGAAAAGTAATGTGAAGGATCTGGGATTGATAATGTCAGAGGACCTCGCCTTCAAAGACCACAACAATGTATCTACCTCATCTGCTAGGAAAATGGTAGGATGGATAATGAGAACCTTCAAAACTAGGGGCGCCAAGCCTGTGATGATTCTCTTCAAATTGCTCGTGCTCTCTAGGCTGGAATACTGCTGTACACTAACAGCCCCCTTCAAGGCTAGCGACATTGCAGACCTGGAGAGTGTACAAAGAACTTTCACAGCACATATAAGCACGATAAGGAACCTAAATTACTGGGAGCGGTTGAAGGTCTTTGATCTGTATTCCCTGGAACGCAGGTGAGATACATGATAATATACACTTGGAAGGACCTGCACACGAAAATCACTCCCCATGAAAGCAAAAGACTCGGCAGGAGATGGAACATTTCCCCAATGAAAAGCAGGGGTACGAAGAGTACATTGAGAGACAACACAGTAAGTGTCCGGGGTCCAAGACTATTAAACTGCCTTCCAGCCTACATTAAGGATATTACCAATGGACCCCTGGCTGTCTTTAAGAAGGCACTGGACAGGCACCTAAAGTCAGTACCTGACCAGTCGGGCTGTGGTTTTTATGTCAGCTTGCCTGCAGCCAGTAATAACAGCCTGGTTGATCAGACCCAGATCCACCGTGAGGCCTGGTCTCAGACCAAGCCGCGGGGGCGTTGACCCCAGGAACCCTCTTCAGGTAAACTCTAGGTAAATTCCAGGGATAATTCTAAAACACCAATATTTACATCTATTTTGGCATTTAACAGATTTTGAAAAAATTTTCAGCTGCTGTCTTCCATAGCAGAGCCATCAGCACTTGGAATAACATTTTGTAATCACCCATTACTGCACAATTGCAGTGTTTTGTAAACGAAAATAACTAAGATACTCAGTAATTAAGATGCTCACCCAGCTAACCATCAATGTACTGATAAAGTGTTTCATAAGAAAAGTGAAGAATATGTAGCAGTAACAAAAGAAGTCAATAAATACTTAAATATGCTTTATGCAGACCCACTCATCTTCTTGTTACAATCATTGGCACTGTACTTAGAGAAATATACACAAAAAGTAATACATACCTTCAAGATTAGTAGGGTACCTAGGAATAGTAGGGAGCATAGCTCCACTGGATTAAATTTTTAGTTTTGAGAAATTTACCAATGGAAATGTCTTTTTGTTTTTCCTAGGCCTGTGATAGAGGGCGAGGAGCAATTTTACTTGCTGTAGCAAGAGGTAAAGTCTCAGAAGGAATAGATTTTGACCATCATTATGGTCGATGTGTCATTATGATGGGAATCCCTTTCATGTATACCCAGAGCAGGATTCTGAAGGCCAGACTTGAGTATTTACGTGACCAGTTCAACGTAAGTAGATAAAATTTGCTCATTTTTTTTTTCATTAAATCTTGTATGATAGTGATCTACAGGCAGAGTATTATCATTAACTCAGTGGCTATCTCCTGCTAAGGCAGGGGGCTCAAAGACAAAAATATTCACCTTCATTCACTTGCTATCTTTCCAGAAGTGTGGTGAAATCACAGTCAGATTACCCAAAAACACTTCCACCATCATTCACACTATCACCGTCTTGCCAGAGGCGCACAGATACAACAGTTCAGATGTCCTTCCAAATAGCAGATATTTATTATTTATTTACTCTAGCAGGCTTTTGCAAGTGCATTAAATCAACCGAAGACAAGTGGTTTTTAAAAGAATGTGCTGTTGGGGTATGAGCAAGGTAACAGGTATGAAGAGATTCAGGAAAAACCAGGTAGTTAGACTTGAGTCCTGGAGGCAGGAAAGGTAGTACCTGTACTCTGAAGGAGGGATGGGGATGTAGTTTAGAGGGTCATATAAACTGCGATATCAACATACTTCTGGCAAGACGGTTATTGAATGAGTGATGGTGATTGTATTTTCTTTTTTTTTTTGATGGGGGGGGGGCAGAGGTCTGCCTACCTTAGTGAGGTAAAAAAAAAATTTTTTTTTGTCCACTACCCACTTCTTTTAACACTTTAGACATCTCCCACCAAGGTAGGGTGACCCGAGAAAGAAGAAGAAACACTTTCGCCATTATTCATATAATCATTGTCTTACCAGAAGTGTGCTGACATCACAGCTTGGATAATCCTCCTAACTGCAACATCCCCATCTGTCCTTGAGAATGTAAACACTGTGCTTCTCATCTCCAGGATTCAAGTCTGGCTAACTGGTTTCCCTATATCCCTTTATAAATGTTACCTTGTTCACACTCCAACAGCACATGGAATCACACAAACCACCTACTTCCATTCACTCCTATCTAATATGGTCACACAATCCTTTTGGATATCCAGGCCCCTAGCACTTACAACCTCCCTTACCCTTTCTCTCCAACATTTTCGTGAACAACCCCTACCCCATCCTGTTTTGTTCCACCCTCTGTATATGTCCAAACAACATCAACGATCCCTCTGCCTTTTGAATAATACATTTGGTAACCCTACACCTAAATTCCATCCTGTGAATTCTTGAGATTAAAAGAAAATTTATGCTTCAGATTACCTCTTAAGGGGGATGGCTTGATGTTGGTGAAGGACTTTTGATCCTAGGAATTGGAGCTAATTTTCCCTTCCTCACTTCAAACTTTATTAGTTTCTTTTCCCCAGACACGCTTATGACCCATACGGGTTTAGTACTTCCCCATCACTGTTCTTTAATAATAATTCAGATGAACTTGCAAATCTTTTTCAACAGATCAGAGAAAATGACTTCCTGACCTTTGATGCCATGCGTCATGCAGCTCAGTGTGTGGGGAGAGTTATGCGTGGAAAGACAGATTATGGTATCATGCTGTTTGCAGACAAACGCTTCTCTAGGGCTGATAAACGAAGTAAATTGCCACGGTGGATTCAAGAGCATTTAGTAGATAGTAAATGTAACCTTTCTACAGAAGAGGCTGTACAGGTGAGATTTAAAAATCTAAATTTATTTGACTTAAGGGAGGGGCAAGCCTTTTTCCAGTTTCAGGAAATTAAAATTGAAAAATTATGGAAAAAGAATTTTTCTTACTGAAAAATAGTACAAAATTCTGGCAACATTTTGATGTAATCTGCTTGTTTCTATCGTATTTCTAAGTACAGGAAGGCCCCGCTTTACGGCGTTTCACTTTACGGCGTTCCGCTAATACGGACATTTCAAATTATGACCAAAACTCGCTATACGGCTCCCCCCACCTGACTTTCTAATACGGTCACCGTGCCCCACCCTGTTTGTTTACATTCTCCATGAGCTCAGTAAGCACTAAGTCTCTCCATTTTGTCTGGAAACTCCAAAATTTCAAATGTTTTTAAAAGTTATTTCATATTTTATATATACTCTGATAATTATACTTATGTATACCTGTACCTAAATAAACTTACATACTGTGCTGGTATGCAGGTACACATTAAAATTGGTAAGTGTCTTATGTCTCCAGACATCATATTAGTAATGATAATAATCATCGAGTCATTTAAATGTCGTATATTACGTTAATATACACATTTTCATTAATCCATCCATGATATTTTTTTCAAAATTATATAATAAACATGATGCATAACATATAAATAAGATAAATACACCCCACAGTAGAATAAATAAACATAAATGTGAGATGTGGTAGCAGACGACTTGCACAAGTGACGCCATATTAGAAATGATAATAATAATAACAATACTCACCGAGTCTCATTAAATGTCGTATATTACGTTAATATACACATTTTCATTAATCCATCCATGATATTTTTTTTTTCAAAATTATATAATAAACACGATACATAACATAAAAAGATGATAAATACACCCCACAATAGAATAAATAAACATAAATATAAGATGTGGGAGCCACATAACTTGTACAAGTGATGGCAAGAATAACATTTTCTCTAATCTAACATAAGAGAAAATGTGTTACTGGGGGTAACTGTAGAAAATTATTCCTTTCGTATGTATGTAAGTAAGTTTATTCAGGTATACACAAATACAGTTACATAGATTATCATACATAACAACATACGTGTAGAGAACCTATGATAACCCAAAAAAGTCAGTGTGACTTATTTCCATTGCCTTCACTCAGAGCTTCATTTCTTCTCAAAATGATGTTACATGAGAATGGGAGTGTTCTTCTTTATTAATTCTACCGTATCAATGTAGAGACAACCTGTACACAATGTAACTTGTACACAAACCAGACGTGTACACTTCGTTTGTTTACAAAACTTACGTTCGCCTGGTTTGTTTACATAACTCTGCGCCTGTCCCCTCTCATGTACTCATTCTTTCTCTCTCTCATTTATTCGTTTTATCTCATTTACTTACTCCTGACCCTACATTAAGACTACAAATATTTTAAGGTAAGTAATGAGTGAACTGTATATACATTTTATCGCTCTGGGATGCTTAAATATCATAGAATAGTATGTGTGGGTGGGGTGGCCTGGCTATTACCATACATACCACACGATTTCTTACAATAAATACTACTTGTCTCACCCTAGATTAAGACTATAAATATTTTAAGGTAAGTAATGAGTGCACTATGTGTATATTGTACTTTCTTATTGTTTTTTGATGCCTGGTTCTATTGCTAACTAATATATGTTAGTGTAAATTTGTTATCTAGTGTTTGTATGCATTTATAAGTGGAAAAAAAGGGTGTTCCACTTTACGGCGGTTTCCGCTTTACGGCGGTAGCCTGGAACCTAACCTGCCGTATAAGTGGGGCCCTCCTGTATGTGTTTCATTAAATGTATTTTTTTTTTTGTTGTTGTTGCTGTTGTCAGCAAAAATGCATGTTGGCAATTAGTGTTTATTTTTTTCTATAAAAATTACAATTTTTTATGATTGTTTCATTGTAAATACTCTACATGGCATCTTCTGTGCTGGCTAGAGTGTGGAGAGCGGTCAGTGTCTGCCTTAGTAGCCGTCAGGCTGTCAACAAGCAGGGAGGGGTGCAACACGCTCAGATTTGGCGTGCGGTAACCGTAGAGTTTCACAACAAACAAAATCAATAATAAATCAAAAATAAGTTATTGACACTGTAATCCATCTCCTGCGATAAATATTAATAGGATTGTCATGATTTTTGCAGACGTTATTGAGGAATGATGGTTCTACAAACACCCACAGTGGATTTGTGATACTGTTTACAGCTTTGTTTTTATTGATTTTATTTTTTTATTTTTTTATTAACACATTGGCCGATTCCCACCAAGGCAGGGTGGCCCGAAAAAGAAAAACTTTCACCATCATTCACTCCATCACTGTCTTGCCAGAAGGGTGCTTTACACTACAGTTTTTAAACTGCAACATTAACACCCCTCCTTCAGAGTGCAGGCACTGTACTTCCCATCTCCAGGACTCAAGTCCGGCCTGCCGGTTTCCCTGAACCCCTTCACAAATGTTACTTTGCTCACACTCCAACAGCACGTCAATTATTAAAAACCATTTGTCTCCATTCACTCCTATCAAACACGCTCACGCATGCCCGCTGGAAGTCCAAGCCTCTCGCACACAAAACCTCCTTTACCCCCTCCCTCCAACCTTTCCTAGGCCGACCCCTACCCCGCCTTCCTTCCACTACAGACTGATACACTCTTGAAGTCATTCTGTTTCGCTCCATTCTCTCTACATGTCCGAACCACCTCAACAACCCTTCCTCAGCCCACTGGACAACAGTTTTGGTAATCCCCCACCTCCTCCTAACTTCCAAACTACGAATTCTCTGCATTATATTCACACCACACATTGCCCTCAGACGTGACATCTCCACTGCCTCCAGCCTTCTCCTCGCTGCAACATTCATCCCCCATGCTTCACACCCATATAAGAGTGTTGGTAAAACTATACTCTCATACATTCCCCTCTTTGCCTCCAAGGACAAAGTTCTTTGTCTCCACAGACTCGTAAGTGCACTGCTCACCCTTTTCCCCTCATCAGTTCTATGATTCACCTCATCTTTTATAGACCCATCCGCTGACACGTCCACTCCCAAATATCTGAATACATTCACCTCCTCCATACTCTTTCCCTCCAATCTGATATCCAATCTTTCATCACCTAATCTTTTTGTTATCCTCATAACCTTACTCTTTCCTGTATTCACTTTTAATTTTCTTCTTTTGCATACCCTACCAAATTCATCCACCAACCTCTGCAACTTCTCTTCAGAATCTCCCAAGAGCACAGTGTCATCAGCAAAGAGCAACTGTGACAACTCCCACTTTATGTGTGATTCTTTATCTTTTAACTCCACGCCTCTTGCCAAGACCCTCGCATTTACTTCTCTTACAACCCCATCTATAAATATATTAAACATCCTTAGACAAGGATGTGACATCACACATCCTTGTCTAAGGCTTACTTTTACTGGGAAATAATCTCCCTCTTTCCTACATACTCTAACTTGAGCCTCACTATCCTCGTAAAAACTCTTCACTGCTTTCAGTAGCCTACCTACTACACCATACACCTGCAACATCTGCCACATTGCCCCCCTATCCACCCTGTCATACGCCTTTTCCAAATCCATAAATGCTTATCTAAATACTGTTCACTTATATGTTTCACTGTAAACACCTGGTCCACACACCCCCTACCTTTCCTAAAGCCTCCTTGTTCATCTGCTATCCTATTCTCTGTCTTACTCTTAATTCTTTCAATAATAACTCTACCATACACTTTACCAGGTATACTCAACAGACTTATCCCCCTATAATTTTTGCACTCTCTTTTGTCCCCTTTGCCTTTATACAAAGGAGCTATGCATGCTCTCTGCCAATCCCTAGGTACCTTACCCTCTTCCATACATTTATTAAATAATTGCACCAACCACTCCAAAACTTTATCCCCACCTGCTTTTAACATTTCTATCTTTATCCCATCAATCCCGGCTGCCTTACCCCCTTTCATTTTACCTACTGCCTCACGAATTTCCCCACACTCACAACTGGCTCTTCCTCACTCCTGCAAGATGTTATTCCTCCTTGCCCTATACACGAAATCACAGCTTCCCTATCTTCATCAACATTTAACAATTCCTCAAAATATTCCTTCCATCTTCCCAATACCTCTAACTCTCCATTTAGAAGAATTGAGACACTTATGCAACACATGGGAATCTTTATTGAAAAAACGTTTCTTCAAAAAAGATTCCCATGTGTTGCATAAGTCTCTCTCAATTCTTCAACTTGTCGGTTTTCTAAACCATTCATCACAACTCTCCATTTAATTACTCTCCTCTCCTATTTTTAACAGACAAATCCATTTGTTCTCTAGGCTTCCTTAACCTGTTAATCTCACTCCAAAACTTTTTCTTATTTTCAACAAAATTTGTTGATAACATCTCACCCACTCTCTCATTTGCTCTCTTTTTACATTGCTTCACCACTCTCTTAACCTCTCTATTTTTCTCCATATACTATTCCCTCCTTGCATCACTTCTGCTTTGTAAAAACTTCTCATATGCTAACTTTTTCTCCCTTACTACTCTCTTTACATCATCATTCCACCAATCGCTCCTCTTCTCTCCTGCACCCACTTTCCTGTAACCACAAACTTCTGCTGAACACTCTAACACTACATTTTTAAACCTACCCCATACCCCTTCGACCCCATTGCCTATGCTCTCATTAGCCCATCTATCCTCCAATAGCTGTTTATATCGTACCCTAACTGCCTCCTCTTTTAGTTTATAAACCTTCACCTCTCTCTTCCCTGATACTTCTATTCTCCTTGTATCCCATCTACCTTTTACTCTCAGTGTAGCTACAACTAAGAAGTGATCTGATATATCTGTGGCCCCTCTATAAACATGTACATCCTGAAGTCTACTCAACAGTCTTTTATCTACCAATACATAATCCAACAAACTACTGTCATTTCGCCCTACATCATATCTTGTATACTTATTTATCCTCTTTTTCTTAAAATATGTGTTACCTATAACTAAACCCCTTTCTATACAAAGTTCAATCAAAGGGCTCCCATTATCATTTACACCTGGCACCCCAAACTTACCTACCACACCCTCTCTAAAAGTTTCTCCTACTTCAGCATTCAGGTCCCCTACCACAATTACTCTCTCACTTGGTTCAAAGGTTCCTACACATTCACTTAACATCTCCCAAAATCTCTCTCCTTACATTCCTCTCTTCTCCAGGTGCATAAACGTTTATTATGACCCACTTTTCGCATCCAACCTTTACTTTAATCCACTTAATCCTTGAATTTACACATTCATATTCTCTTTTCTCCTTCCATAACTGATCCTTCAACAAAATTACTAACTTCAACATTTTTTTTTATGGAATCTACTGACAATATCGCTAAACTGCTCTGGGCCATTATTAATCTAGCCTTTATCTTTCATCTGATGTCAACTAGAGCATTGTACATCTTTCCAATTTAGTAGAAACTGGAAAGTCCTAGGACTTTCTATCTAACTTGAAGGCTAACAGTCAAAACAAACACAGCCTATGTTTTTTGAAGCTGCTTAGTCCACTATCACAATCCCATTGAAATCTGATAAAAAAAAAAAGTTGGTGATTCTGCTCGCCCCTCCCTTAAAATTTATGTATGTATTTATATAACTTTGCCATAAGGTGAGGAGGTGCCCAAAAAATTAATTAGTACTGCATCATTATCACATAGTTTTGTAGATGTAAACCCATATGAGCAGTTATTAAAGAAGCAAAAATGCTACTTAGCATACATTTTCTTTAAAAAAATGTTGAATAACCCATGGCTTCCATAAAACACACTGTACTGGGATTCATTGGCAAGAAATATGACTTAAGAAAACGTACCAACTAGGCCTAGTCTCCCCAGAAACAACAAAAGATGTACAGTGGAACCTTGACTTACGAGTGTCCCAGCGTACGAGTTTTTTGAGATACTAGCCGACCCTGGGTCGATTTTTTGCTCAGAGTTACATGCCAACATTTGAGTTACGAGCCAGCTCCCCCTGCTTCCCTCTCAACCCAAAGCCTGGACACCTCGCTTGTTTATCTATGATTTCATGCTTTAATTCCATGGAAATCATCCTCTTGATCTTCTCACCACTGTCCTTTACACTTACTTTCTTAGGACCCATGCTTAGAAAAACGAAATTTGGCCAAATGACTGTCAAAAATGTAAGCAAAGCATATATAAATGGTCCAAAAAAAGACCGAAATGTCGTCGTAAGCTTCTCTCTTTTATGTGCGGGTTATTTGTGTAAGCAAAGCATGAGAGAACTGCTCCCACAGTTAGGTAAACAGTGCACTGAGTTGGCAGTGTTTATTATTATTTTAATAATAATAATAATTCTTTCTTCTTTCAACACACCAGCCGTATCCCACCGAGGCAGGGTGACCCAAAAGGAAAAACGAAAGTTTCTCCTTTTACATTTCTTTCTTCTTTCAACACACCAGCCGTATCCCACCGAGGTGGGGTGGCCCAAAAGGAAAAACGAAAGTTTCTCCTTTTACATTTAGTAATATATACAGGAGAAGGGGTTACTAGCCCCTTGCTCCCGGCATTTTATTCGCCTCTAATAATTATTATTATTATTATTATTATTAATTTAGGTAACTAGAGCACAGATCCAATTCCCTAGATGAAGAGCCCCTCACCAGCGTCAAGGTTTGTTGACACTGGTGAGGGGCTCTGATCTAGGGAATTGGATCTGTGCCCCAGTTCCCTAAATTTATAATAATAATAATAATAATATTATTATTATTATAACAATAGAGCTTCAGTGCCCTAAATTAATAATAATATTATTATAATAATAATGATAGATAATAATAATAATAATAATAATAATACATAATACGTATGTAATAATGATTCAGAATGCTGCCGCTTGTTGGCACAGCTGATCCGGTAAGCAGTCACATGTTTACATCGCTGTGGGAGCATTTCTCTCGTGCTTCCTTGCATTTTTTTACAGTCATTTGGCCAAATTTCTTCTTTCTAACCATGGGTCCTAAGAAAATAAGTGCACAGGACATTGCTGAGAAGAAAAAGATGATTTCCATGGACTTAGCCAGGCAATACCAGCTTAGTACTTCTACGATATGTAGATACTAAAGCTATATCAGTTATGTTCAGTGACTGTACAAAACAAATTGTATCAGTTAAGGTCGGTGGACGCTTCCGCCGCTGCCTCTGCCACCATATTATGGCCTATTTTATTTATTCTAGAGTATATATCATGTTTCTGTGTTATTTATATTGTTTATTATGTCATATTAGATGAATTGTGATAGATAAATAAGCCGTACAGTTGATAGTAACGTCATATTCAAGTATTTTTTCTCATCTCTCCAGAGTGCAGGAACGAATTAATGGCTTTTCAATTAATTTACATAAATGAGTTAAATTAATTTGATATATGAGTAAATTGAGCTACGAGCTAGCTCCTGGAACGAATTAAACTCATAAGTCGAGGTTCCACTGCACAATATTTGTTAAATTATTTGTCGAGGGAAAATCACCTGATGCCTGGTCTTCATTATATGAAGACTTGCTCAGCAACACTTCACATCAAATTTGAGAATTGAAAAAATATACAGTACTACTGAAACAAATTTTGCAAAATGAATGATATGAAAAATTATTAGGGCACTTTTTTTTTTCAAATCCTAGGATCCAATAAATTATTAAAGATGAACAGATAATACAAATAATTTCTCTTCTAGGAAATGAACCCACATCTCAGATACATTAATAACAGATTCTATATTATGCTATACTATACTAAACAGCTTTCTTGACACCATTGGTTAAGACTGATTTAACCAAGAATATCTCAGACATCGAGACTCGTGTCATTAATTATCTTGCAGACAACACTAACTCTTATGTCCTTAATAAAATTTCTATAAAATCAATTACAGGAATCAAATTATGTATTTTATACATTTCAAGAGGCTGCACAAATATTACACTGGCACCGAGCTGCTTCTTTGTATACTAAAACTTTATTTCTACTCACAGGTAACAAGGCCTTGGCTGAGACAGATGGCTCAGCCGTTCACTCGGGATGATCAGTTAGGCGTGTCACTTCTCACTCTTGAACAACTAAATTCGGTGGAAAATATTGAAAAAGTTCAAAAGAGAGCGCAGCAGTCTTTTTGAATCAATATTCTATATTGATTTTTAGTGTTGCAAAGCCAGAATTTTTTTTTTTTTTTTGAAAATAAGGAGCCATTCTGCCTTTCCTCTGATCATACCTGATTACTTCTTGTTACCTAGGCATTGTATGATCCTTATGGGTTTAATGCTTCCCTATGGATGTAATAATAATCTTGAAAAATAAGAGACATTGTAAAATAGTGTTAAAGTACTGTTATTGAAATAAGAATATACTGTACAATATCTTGTTATTGTAAACACTGATATTAGAAAATAAATACATTAATGTTTAGAGTAGGTTCAGCTGATCAGATTTATTACTACTTAAAGAAAATAAAGTTTTTATAACAATGATTAAATTTATTTTGTGAACCAGGCATCCTTGTAGATATGGTTAGTCACTTTTATTTAGGACAATTGCTAGTCATGTACAGGTACAGTGATTTGTATAGATGGCTATCACTAAATAATCTGTAAAGATTTTGCATGTAATTGGAAAAAGAATCTGTGGTGGAAATTTGTCATATAGCATTAGAAAGTAAATTTAGCTTTAAAAAATATGTGAACATTGCAGGAATTAGGTTGTACAAAATAGGCTATAAACCCAAAGAGGCTCTGTTATTTACGTAAAGGTTACTGGGTCATGGAGACTAAGCTCTGCTTCCATATTTGCCATGAATGGAAATAAGCTCTGCTTCCATATTTGCCATGAATGGAAATCCGCTTATTCCTCAGTTCATCTTGCCTGGAATTTGAGCTTTTTTTTCCTGTAGCTGTGGCTCATTATTGGGTAATACACTTCTTTAGTGAGGGGATAGAGCTAAAGCAAAATTTTGTTGCTGGTCATGCACCTCTCCATTGTAATCCTCTTCAAGGATGGGGAGGGGGGCTCCTTGGTGCAGTGAAGAAGTTTTTGGTCTGAGGAATTGGACCCTTGGGTCTTCTTCCTCTGACTGAACTTAATTACCCCCTAATCTCCCCCCTCCTTTCCCCATCTCTCCCCTCTCCCTTTCTTACTTTTGACCTTTGGGGGTCCTTCAGGAATTCTAGCTCTTAAGTTTGGGAAAGGGTGTCATTGCCTGTCCCATTCCATTGAGGTCCTTGGTGGTGGTGTAGTTTGCCATGGAATCTGGATCATCAGGGGTTCTCCCAATTCCTCTCCAGTCTCCTGGGGATGCTGCTTGTGATGTCTTTTAGATGATGAGTGTATCTCTGGAGGCTGGCTGTCAGATTCTGGAAGGTGGTGGCCAAAGGAGGTATGCCTTGTGGTGGGTTTCCAATTTTCCTCTCTTATGTCCACCAAAGTGCCTCAGTGGATGTGAGGTTGCTATCCTGGATTGCCGGTTTACTGGCATGAAAGGTAGGGTATGGCATGGGTTCCATGCCACTTCTACTGGCTGCACTGAGGTCCTCTTGGGCATGGGGGATATTTGTGGCCCTTTCATTCTTCCTAAGAGCTTCCTCTCCATGTTTCCCCCTTCCCTTTTTTTTTTTTTTTTTTTTTTTTTTTAGCTTTTTGCTTTTTTCTTTTGTTTCCTTTTTTGGAAAAACAAAAGACAGGTGACCTAACCATGGAGTCCCATGTCTATGATGCTTCTCCTCCCAGACACCCCTTTCTGTTGCAGTGTCCTCTTTTGATCCTGCCTCATTATTGGATCTTTCTTCGGACTTTTCTAACACCCCAGTACCTTCTGCGAGTAACATTTTGTTTTCCCGCCCCTGGTACTGGAGTTCCGCCAAACTTCTTTGATACCTCCGGGCACTGCAAGTCTTTGACCATGCTTCTGGCCTCTATGGTGAAACGATTTTCAGATCGCCAGCACATCTCAGGACAGACCACCTCCGATCCCACACCCAAACAATCACGACCATTAACAGATGACATGTCTTCGATTACCTCTCACTCTTTCCGGAAAAGACCAGCAAGACACTCACTCCTCTCGCACACTACGTTTCAAAGTACTCAATGGGCTAAGTTTTTCACTCTGCAGCTGGCATCCCCCACTGACTCTTTCTGATCATAGTACAGACACTCTTTACTTAATGACAGGGTTCCGTTCCTAAGACCACGTCGGTAAACAAATTCGTTGCTCAGCAAGGACTCACCCCTTACCGATACTTCAAGCATATATAACAGCCATTTAAAACATTTTATTCTGAAGAAAGGAAAGGTCTAAAAGAAACTCCAACTTGATAAATTTGTTCTAATTTGCTTAACTCTTATATATTACAGAAAATTATAATTACTGTACAGTCAAAATCTTCCTTTTTGCTGACATCTTGTACTATGGGGTGCACAATAAAGTACAAATTTGTACAAATATGTGTAGTCTTGGAGACTGTGAAAGCTAGTGTACTGAGTGGCTGCGAGAATGAGACCGAGATGTTTGATGCTGAGATGCCGCGCTGCCTGTTTCCATGACCCAAGTTCTTGTACGGCACAGTACTGACTGGTCAGAGAGCCAATCGTAACTCCGAGCGGTCGGTAAATGAGTGCGTCGCTAAGTGAGGGATATCTGTATCAGCAAGGCACTCCTGCACCATGTTGGTCAAAATATTTCATTTCATGCTCTTAAGAGTGGTGCACGCATCATCATGGTTCAAAATGCTGGCCAGGCTCACAATCTTTCCCTTCTTACCTCCATAGATGATAGTCCTGTCATGGTTTGAGAACACATTTCTCTTAATTCTTGCAGTAGTACTGTAGTTCTGCCTCATACCAATGTTGAATATGATTTCCAGACATGTAATACTGACATTCTGGAGCAACTTGAGTTCCAAGACCTCCCAATTCTCAAAGTGGACACTTATGAACTACCTGCCCATGGGCAGAGATGCTACCCCTGCAGTGTAGCTTGCTTTTGACTGCTGAGAACTTCCATCCTCAGTTTGTATTGCAGGACACCGTTTACAAGTATGAGAGTCGATCACTACACCACAGTAGTGTAGAAGTTGCTGGCATTTCGGCCACCTAGTGAAATATTGCAGGTCCATAGCAGAATGCCCAGTCTATACCAATACATCTTGCAGCCTGCCTTCTTGCCTTAATTGTAATGAGGCTCACCCGGCTTATTCTTGCAGTTGCCAAGTTTACCTAAAAGAACCAGAAATTGCTATCTCAAAAAGATAAGAGGGTTTCACTTACGCCATGCAGTCTCTCACCTCCGCCTCCAAGTGAGACTTCCATGACTTTCTTATCCTAGAGTTACTAAGCATTCTCCAACCTCGGTGGTACCTACTTCCACAATCTCCTCTGTGGTCACAACTTCCAGTCACATCTGTATCTAACTTTTGTAGCCTTGGACTCCAAGGTCCCTATCTCATTGACTCATCTTCTCGCTCGAATGTGTCTATGTCTACAAGACCTCCCACAATTACACCTTCCCTTAGCCTCTCTACATCTCCAAAGTCTAAAACATCCCCAAAGTTCAAATCTCCTCTAATCTTTCCTTCATTTATCCTTCCCAAACATTTTTCCTTTCCATCTCTGTGCCTAGTACTTAACCAATTACTGTCTCTGTTACAAGTGTGTTGGTTTATCCTCCCCTACGTACAGTTCTCTCCTCTCTTATCCCCCTCACAAGTTTCTTCCCAAGGTAACTCAAAACTCTCATCCCTCCCTTTCTTTGGTAATTTCCATTGTTTCTCTAACTTTTGCTTCCCCTTCCCCTTCTGTCTCTGATGTCAAACTACCTGCAACATACTTGTCCTCCAAAATGCTTGAAGCTATCTCCGAATATATTGAGGAGACAAAACCATTAATGGACACTGATCCGCCTCCCATCACTCCTCCTTTTCCTCACTTTTCTAAACCATCTACATAACTCCTTTCCTTGCAGCATTCCAATCCTTCACTGCTTGCTTGTTTTCCACTACCTCCACATATAGACTTTACTAACCCTCCTAGTCCACAGACACTTCCTGCTTTATGTTACTAGTATACTTTTCTTCGTAAATCATGATTTATTTACACTGGTATATTCGAGGCCCCAGGGGTAATCGGGGTGAGCTTCAGTGGATACTGTTATGAGAAGTGAAAACTGCTCTGAGAGCAGCACATGTATCTCCTGCTCTCAGATGTTTGGCAAGTAAACATGTGAGTTATTTAATAATAATATATTTATTTATACAAGTACATGTACAAGGTATACAGGCCTAGTTAACATCAATGACATGCAGTGGACCCCCAGTTACCAGCCGTAATCCGTTCCAGAAGGTTGGCCTAAATCTGAAATGGCTGAAAACCGAAGTAATATTTCCCCATAAGAAATAATGTAAATCCAATTAATCCTTTCCACACCCAGAAATATTAACAAAAAATATATTTTTTAAAGAATACCTATAGTTTTACATACATTATTATTATTATAATCAAGGGGAAGCGCTAAACCCGGAGGATTATACAGCAGTTTTACATACAGAAAACAATGAGAAAGATATATAAAGTAGTAATTTTAATAAATGAACATTACATACCTTTATTGAAGAGTCTTGTTGGCATATGGAAGAAGGCAAGGAGGGGAGAGGTATCAAAGCCCTCTCTGGGGTTACTTCCCTTCTTTGTCTTTTACTGCCACTAGGACCAGCTTGAGAGTCACTGCACCCCTGTTGCACAAAAAATTTGTCCAGAGAGGCCTGTTTCTGGTGTATGTAAAATTTGCTTAAAATTGGACAAGACATTGTCATTGAACATGTTGCAGACATGCTTGCAACAGTTTTGTCAGGGTCATAATTCTCTGCAAAACTTTGCACCTCACTCCACTTTACACAAATATCCTTAATCACTGAAGAAGGCACATTCTGCCCCCCTCTCTTCCTCCTCTGAAGCAATATCCTCAGCTGTGGTCTGTTACTGTTCCTGTTGAAGGTGTTGCAGCTCTTCAGTGGTTAGCTCTTCCCTGTGGTCCTCCACCAACTCTTCCATGTCCTCGCCACTCACATCCAACCCCACGGACTTCCCCAAAGACACAATAGATTCCACAATAGGCATAGGGTCGTCAGGGTCAGCCTCAAACCCTTCAAAATCCTTGTCGAGGACACATTCTGGCCACAATTTTCT